GTGTAGTGGAGGGTTCAGAGGTTTGGGCTCTTCACAACCAATGTTGTAGGGCTTGGTGCTCTCCTCCTTGTACCTGTTTTGTCAAAGCCAGGTTCCTTGGGGATATCATGCCTGCATGCTGTATCCAAGTCTGCAGAAGCAGGCCACCCTGATCAGCGCTGGGAGCAGAAGGCTTTCCTAGCAGTGGAGGCTAGCTGCAGCCAAATTATTCATCTCTAAGAGTCCATGTCTGGTTTTTCTGTCTCTCCTCCCAGCTTGGCCACCCCTCAGTGCTCTGGCTGCTATGGGTCCCTGGCTGGGAACGACAGCTACACGGTGGGTCCCCATCTCAGCGGAACCGCTACAGACAGTGCCCCCTTGCTCTTTGCCGCAGGCGGCTCGGAGATGAATAATCACCATAGCTCATACCCTGCACCACAGAACTGAAGAGGCTGTAAGGTCCCTTTCTTCCCAGAAGTGGCATTCATGTATAGGATTGTAACCTGGTTTTCTCTTTCCTTCTTCCCCTGAAGCATCTATAACTCATCAACACAAACATTCCACTACCTGCTGCAGCTGTAAGCAGGACTGAGCCTATGGCTGCAGACAGTAAGCAAGAGAACTGTGACTTTAAGGTACCATGTAGCAAAGTGAAGCTGAACTCTCTGGAAGCTTTTTCTTGGTCTGGTCTTCAAGATGTTGGCAGCTAAATGCACCAGAGCTTCCTCACTAGAAAAGAAACATCAAATGCATATTTGCACTTTTATCTGCACACTTGGAAGGAACGAATCTCGCTCAGACTGTGCTTAGTCTGAGACTGTTCTAGTTACTCTTTTAATTGCACATCCATAGCTGGGAGAGGCACTGTCTTCCTGCAAAGACATGTTCCGTGAAGTACTCTGCATCCTGCCTCACTTGGGAGTGTGAAGCTCTGTCAACCAAGCGGGTTACGGGCAGGGCCTGCTGTGGTGAATGTTAAAGCATACTGTGCCATATTTGCACCCGGCAGGGCTGAGGCCTCGGGGCTGAGTGTGGTCTTGCTCTGCCTGCTGGTCCTTGTTTCACCCGACACGCTGAACCTAGCTAGGACTGAGGGTTCAAAGCATATCCTGGCAGAGGCCTGTGAGGGCGAGACCAAGTGCTCCTACTGGCATTAAGGTTGTAACCAACCCGCTAGCTCATGGCACAGGAAGAGGGCTGGCTTGGACCGTAGCTGCTGTCGAGTGAGGGGGCAAGACCTTATGGGCTGCTGCCTTCAGGGAAAGCTTAGAGCTGGAGCTGGCTCAGCAGGAGTGTGCGTGGAGGAACATGTGTGGCCCAAAGCATGCGTAAAACTAGGGCTGCTTTAACTGGCGGGTGGTGAGAGCAGTCCTGCTCCCTCTCTTCACCCGTGGTGGGGCTCCCTTTTCCCCCCTCAGTATTAAATTGCATTTAGTGGATAACCAGGAGTTTTAACCTGAAGTGAATGTGAACTGGTGGGGTCCCCACTGAGGTGCAGGAGGTGTCCGCTTGTGGAGGCAGTGCTTCCTGCTGCAGAGGGAAGGGGCAGACACTGCAGCTGTCTGGTCCCTGGGCTCCTTGCTCTCCCTTCCCCTGCCATGGGGCAGGACCATGGGCCTGATGTCCTCCCGCTGCCCCTCTAGCTGTGTCAATAGGGCTCAGTGGTGTACATGGGGTTTGAGTGTGCCTGTGCCAGTCTGGGAGGAGGTTTCTCTGTCTCTCTGACCAAAATAGCCAAGTTTGACCTGGGCTATAGCTCCACTGGGCTCTTGGAGATGAGACTTGATGTTATTCCTGGGTTGTCCCTGAGCCTGATGTGGGGATGAGCGAAGCAGCTTTGGACACAGCTTTAGAGGGAGGGTACTGGGTCCAGGGAGGGCAGCTGCTCTGACCTCTGTCTAATGATGGCCTGAACTGGAACTGCTTTTAACCTACCTAGAGCTGCTCCTGCTGTTGAAGCACAAGTCTGATGAAGGATGCAGCTGGGGTGAAGGACTTACCTGTGCATGGAGCAGTACGGTGCTGCCTGGCTCTGGGACACTGGGCTGGGCTCTGGTGCTGGAGGGACCCTGAGACAGCCTCAGTTTCCTCAGCTGCCTGTGGGAAAAACCCCAAGCACTGGGACAGCCCCAGCCTCTCCTCACTGTGTGTGCTCACGAGTATGGCCTGGTCACCCCATCACCCACCTCGCTTGCACTGAGCTAGATGTCACTTGTCACACTGAGAACACCCTGTCCCTCTGTGTGGTTGCCTGTACTGGCTTGCGGGCCTCTCCCTGCTAACCTGCTTCACTCTTGCTGGCCCAAAAAGAGCAACCCCTGCTGCTTTTGAGAGGAGGCTCTGAGATGACAACTGTCAGCACATCCCTCTTGCTCTAGCACTTGAACCAGAGAGCTCTGCCCTGACTGCGGTGGCTCTCCGGGCTGCTCCACCTTACACCATGTAAGGGACCTGTCTCCTTGCCTCGGCTGGGTTGCTCCATCTCAATCACTGCTTGACTTATGGCAAGGCTAATGAAGGACCTGGGCTCGGTGCATTGCCCTTCTTTCTTCTCCCATAAGTCACCAAAGACAGTAAGTGACGCTAGTGGCCCCTGTTCTTGCTTAAATTCCAAAGCACTAGGAGCACTTTAAGTTTTTCTTTGGAGGGAAAGGAGTGTAGTGCAAAAAAAAAAAACCTATTAAAAAAGGGCTACAGGCTCATTGTTCATATTGCACTGAAGCACACACCAACAATATGATCTTCCTGGCATTAGGATGGCAGGTCGGGGCAGTGAGTCTTGTTGCTAATGTACTCGTGAGTGACTGGCAAAGTGTTTTGGTTTTATTCGTTTGTACGGATGGCCGGTAATTTCAGAACTCTGACCGCTCCTGCTGGGGGCGGTCCTGTGTTTTACTGAAGTAATTTATAGCTGAGAAGTACAATGACTTTTTTAATGCATAGTTGCCTTTCATTAAACTTTCTTTTTTTGGTATGGTTTAACAGTGTTTTGGCTTTGCAGTCAGGCAGCAAGCTGGCTGCAACAGGAAGCTGTGGCCAATGAATGTACCTATTTGTTCTTCACTAAACTGTAACCAAGCACTACTATGTTGAAATAAAAAAATAAAAAAAGTTTCTGTGCTGGCTTGCTGGTGGCCTGGCTGTGTTTTGCTCTTGGTGCGAGCCAGCTCCAGCCCTGGTCCTGCAGTCCCCCTTGTCCTGGCTGGGGTCTTGTTGGCCGTGCTCTGCCGAGACATGGCCGCTAGCGTGGGGGAGCAGCTGCCG